AATTTTACAAAAAGGCCCTATTCTTATTTAAAGGAAAGGGGGGTTTAATTATGGGACAAAAAGGGGTATCGGTAAAAAAAAACAAAAATCAAGTCGATGACCTAAAAGAATTGAAGATGGGAAGGTAGCGGGCACTACAAACCAACATATTTTTTGATTTGGCCTAAGCACAAAACTCAATGAATCTATGAAGCGAAAAGCACAGTATTACGGAATACCGTTAGGGCCATCATGGTTGTACGTTATATTCCAGAGGGCGACAATTTGATAGTGCGACAACATGATGGTGATAGTACGATGACGACAACGCGATAATACGAGGACGACAATGCTATAGACTATCACATTATTGTCATCGTACTATCGCATTGTCGCCATCGCATTATTGCACTGTCGCATTGTCGTACTGTCGTCATCGCATTGTCGTCATTGCATTGTCGCATTGTCATCATCGCACTATCGTCACTGTACTCTCGTACTAACGCCATCGCGTTGTCGCACTATCACATTGTCGCCCTCTGGATTATAACGTTCAACAACGATGGCCCTAGCGGTATCCTGTACAGTATTACTGATAGTAAAGTGTTTTTTTTATATTTTGATTTCTGGCAAGGTCTAGCTGATCAACCAGCTAGCTGAACCAAAGTGTTTTTGAGCCACTTATGGCCTCCTGGGTCTAGTTCTGGCTTTCAAATATAATATGCCGTTTTTTCATCTGAGGAGGCATTTTTTTCCCGTAATGTACAGTAAACTATAAATATGGGAATGTCGAATATGTTTGACCAACCCGAATCCAGTGATAAATCTAATTCTCATATACATGGAGAGGACCAGATGAATAACCTTGATGAATAAAATTGGTGTGTAATTGTATTTTATGCAGAATCAGTCATTTAAAGAAGTGTGTTTCTTTGTTTTTTAGTTTTGTGAATGGTATTAATATCGAAATCGATCATTCCGACAACCTTTTTTATATTATGTATATATAGTGGTCAGAATAATTACGTATATATATATACTTGTATAGAATAATTACAACGATTCTTGTATGAACACTTATCATAGTATCATCATTTTATATCAGTAAATACATTTTGTAATACAAGAAGCCAATAACTAATTTGGCATATATTTTGAAAACTTGAGCTTATCTGCAAGTTTAAATCTTAGTACTTATAAGTTTCATTAAGTATAAATTGTTTGATTGATGGAAGTTAGACTCGGTTCCCCCGTGAGGCTTGAAAGGAGTCACTTTTCTCACATTGAGGGAGAGTGTTAATTTCTTATGGTAAACGCATCTAGATCTCAGTGAACAAAAATACACAGACCGTCCAAATTGTTTTGCTCGATTAGTGATGGATATGTATAACATCGCTAAATTACTTTATTTAAGAAGAATATTCAAGCAAACTATAAAAACTTACATCATCTGACAAATCGCTGTTCGCCATGTTTCATCTCCTGGCTTAAAATGAGCGGCAATGCTTCATCACAAATTACAAGTCACAACTTAGAAGTCACAAGTCATAACTCCCAAGTCAATAGTCAAAAGTCATTAAGTCAGAAGTCAAAAGGGCCCTCCAGTGCTTCCATAGTTTATAGATAAGACTTGCATTTAAATTTATATAAGATGATTATACAGGTTTTGATTGGTCTACAGGTTATAGATGTTTATACCCAGTGTTAGCTGGCTAAAAATAGTATCTATAATAGAGTTTATACTTAACAGTTTTCTTTCTACTAGATTTTGAATTCCATCCATTAGTACCAATGTTAATGTTGATGTTATGATTTCATATTTATTTAATAGAAACTGGAAAATGTTAATGTTATGTGTAGACATGTATATCTTAGTATATGGATATGATGAGACTTTTAATATTTCTGTATTAAAGAGTTAGAGTTATGACATTAATATTAAAGTGATGGAGGACTTTCATTTAAAGTTATAAATGATGATAATACATGTATTGATTAGTATACAGGTTAAAGGTTTATACCAGTTTTAGCTGGCTAATAATAATATCTATAAATACAGATTAAGGAATCTTAACCTGGATGTTGTGGTTTATCTTCTGAATTTTGTGAGATTTGGCAGGTTACATAATGACCTATCCAGAATTGAGGTTAATTAGTGTCTACTATTAGTGATGGCAGGATCCATGGTGCAATTCCACCGGACAGTTGCATGGCAATATAGATATATATTCCACACTCTCTTTGCTAGTAGGTCAGTACTGGTCCTTTAAATTTGAATCAAGCAATATAATTTATAAAGTCTCAAAAATCATATTTTGAATTGTTATTATATTTTTTTCTAGCATGTGCATAGTTTGAAAAGGACAGTTTCTTTCTTATCTATTTGTTATGGAGGAACACCGGTCTTAACCTCCAGGTCTCCAGAGTCAACCCAACTACAGACTTTTCATAGTGTAGATTGTTACTTGCACTTGAATAAATTTGTTCACTAAATTTTATAGTGGGTGATTTGTGCCACATGAAAACCGACAAAGTACAAAAAGAAAGCGGGCGCCAGATGAAAACATGAAAATACAATCTACCACAAAGTGATTCGTTTGTTGTATCTTCCCGGTGCCCCTGATGCAAAATACAAATCAGCCTCCATAAAATTTCTTATCAAAGAAAAAAGGTTAGTTTTTTATCTACAAAATAATAGGTATTGTACATGTATTAGTACAGTTATGTTCACTTCCAAATTGACCTTTTATGAATAATGGCACAACCAATAAATGTGTAAGCTGTTTTTTAGTAATAATAATTATACAATATAAATTGTTATTTTGATTAAAACTATGAGTATGTAAGTTTTTTTCTTATTTGTTTAATTAAGAATTAATCTACCTTGAAAAAATTAAAGGTATCTGTCATGGTTTAGAGCTGTTCACTATTTAGGGAAAAAAATGTGTAAGCGACCAGATCCCGATAGCTCAATCGCTACAGCTGCTGTACATTATTCTGTGGATCACAGATTCGAGTTCAGGTCAAGCTGAAAGTTTTTCTCATCCTGTGACTGCATATAACCCTGAGTTTAATTCACTGTGCTCTGTAAACATCAGAAATTTAAGGACACAAATTAATATAGTGGGGAAATATGTTGTGGTTTAGAACTGTTCATTATTAAAGAGAAAATGTGTAGCCGGCCGGATAGCTCAGTTGATCTTCTGACAGTCATGGGTTCGAGTCATGGTCAAGCAGTTTCAGTCAGGGTTTAGAAGTGGTTTTTCAACTGACACATGTTTGATTCATTTAACAGATTGTATTAAATTATATTGTTTGCATGATACTTTTAGATTCTACAAAAGGCATTTGATACAGTTGATCACACTATACTGCACATGAAGAAGTTCTGCTTCTTTTTCTTCATAAAACTTCTAGCATCTGCCATAGGTAATGACATTCTTACATGGTTCAAGTCTTCTTTCTGATAGACAGCAGCTTGTGGATGTGGCTGGTACTCATTCTGCTACTGCTCCGAGTACCTATGGTGTTCCTCTGATGTTCATTTTAGGACCTCTTTTATGTCTAATATATGTCAATGACATGTTTGCAACCCTAAGCAATAAGCTTTTATTATATGGTGATAACTCAGGTATCCTTGTATCTGATAAAATAAATCTGAATAAATTCTCTCTTATGGCATGACTCTTATTCGTGATTTGTTTATTGACTTTAAATTGTCTTTGCATCTTGGCAAGACAGGGTCTATCCCTTCAACTTAAACTGGGCCTAGCCTCCAGGTACATCTTTTGTTAAGTATTTAGGTGCAAAACTTGATCAAATTCTTTGGCGTCGCCTTTGATGCTTTGCATCAATGCTTTTCTTGTCTATCAATCTTATAATTTTCGCGCGTTTTGAATCCACCGGGGTTCTACCGGGACTCTGCCTGGATCGTCCTGGGCTCTGCCGGGGCTCTACCTGTTTCGACCGGGGCTCTGCCTGGGTCAACCGGGGCTCTTCCGGCGTCATACGGGAACGACCGGGGAAGCACCGGCATGAACCTGTGCTCTGCCTGGATGATCCGGAGCGCATCCTCAGTGGAAATTACCGTACTGCTGCCTTGGTTAGTGTGACCACAACAATAATTACACCCTGGATCGTCCCGGATCATCCCGGTAACTTACCGGGATGGTCCTGGGCTCTGCTGTGAGTAAGTGAGATCGCAGTTTAACAGTTCACATTTTTTCATTTTTTATAGCTTGTGCTGGAGGAATATCCCTGGATAGTGTCTCTACCTTCGCCCACGGCTTAAATTCAAAATTCAAAATTCAAATAGTTCAACCGAACCTTTTTTTCCTCCCAAACAAAATGGCCGATGTGTGAGAAATGCCTGGATGCTGTGACGTCATATGAACAGCTTGTGTGGATAGGAAACTGTAAACGACGAACGAACATATGTAAATTTATTTCATGTTAAGTGGGTTTTTATAAGCACATAGAAAATCTACATAAAATGTGCAGATCTGAACTTTTAATTCTGACAGACTAACGCGGAAAACTTATAACTACCAGTACAATCAGGCCTCGGATACTCGCTAAAATCTCCTCAACGCTTAAATTTACACACAAGATTATATATTTAAAGGATTTATCAGAAATATGCCAGCATATAATTAAATCATTCAATATTCTACTAATATATGATTTATAAAATCGTTTTTTATGGCAATTTCAAAGTTATTATCATACTGCATTTTTTTTTTGTTCAATTGACTTATACAGGTCCATAGGAAGGAACCTGTTTTGTTTATATAAATCCATGACATAATATAACATAGATGCTCTATATTTCAGATTGAAGTAACTTTAATTATTTTTGCACTTGACACCATCCTAATTATGTACTTGTATGTCTGGAAAGAAATTTCAGGTGGTCCGGAATGTATTCCGTAATATTATCACCATTTACAACGTTCATTTCACGATGATGATTACTGGTTTGACTACTGGTTTGACGATAAACTGCGAGTCTAACAAGCGTGAAAATCCGTTACCTTAAAACTCAAGCGCGCATTTTGTGGCGGGCATTCCCTGGGTTACATGAGCTGGCGACAGAATAATCGTATTTTAAGAGGATATATACTAAAAATAAAAGGAATACAAGAAAATATTGCTATTTCTTTTGATATTTACAACTAATTAGGAAGAAAAAAATATTAAACAAAATGCTGGTTTTTGTCGGAATTGGATTGTGCGCGGCGTCGCTTTTAATAAATATCATAGGGCTGGCAATACCGTATTGGTCTATTTTCACCCAAACCGTACCCGTATTAGGTGAAGTGAAAACAAATCAAGGATTATGGTCGTTGTGTTCATCTTTCCACGGAAATACTAATTGTGGAGACATCCCAGATGTGCTGCTAGGTATGCATTGACACTTTTTTATTTGTGAAATACAACTTCATGTTTCAGAACCATAACTTCATTGTAATATTTATTATAATATTTTATTTATACAATAACTTATACCAAGTATATAGTACTGTACGTTAACAATTTTACATTTGATATACTTGTAAACGTGCATATAATTAACATATAACAATATATTTTTTGTTAAAGATTATAATAAAAAACGTTTAATTTCCATGGTTTAGTCAACACCCCTCAATTCTGATCTCTAGGTTAATGACAGAATCTTAATGCTTTAAAAATATTCTTAGATTAACCATCAACATCATCACGTGACCTACTAAAAATTAAAAGCAACCACTTTTACCCATCCTCGGTACCCAAGACTCTTTACCTTTATACCAGTATCGGTAAACCGTTGGTTCCGGTTAGGGCTTTGACTGTAAAACAAGTAGTTTATAAATCTTTTTCATGGGACGGTAAATAAAAGATATTGTAATGATGCGAGACCATTATTGAATGATAAAGTCTCAATAAAAATAAGATAAAATATATCTAACATTGTTTGAAACAAATAGACCCAATAGGGTAAAATAGAAAAGGTTTGCTCCCCGAATTATGTTCTTGTAACGTTGCTGATGTTTATAAATACAACGCATTTTTTTTTTAAACTATTTTGCATGCTTTCCAATCCATTTGTTGCGGGCAATATAATATTTGTTCGTAAGTTTTTCGAACTAGATATGGAAAAAAAATGAAGGCACAATAAAAAAAAAATTGTGTTGTTGTTGTTCATCTTGCTGCTGCTGTATGGCTTTCTACAATCTTAACAGTATTCCCCATAATCGTAATCGCTAGAAATAGCGTTAATTAGATTCAACTTTATAGAGCAAAAACAATTTATGGCGAGAACAACTTGGAACAGCTCATAGAGTTTTGTGTTACTTTTAAGCTTTGATTTTCTTTTATTTTTTATATTATAGATAGCGCTTTTAAGACGACTCGAGCCATGGAGATACTGGGCATGCTCCTTATACTGGCGGCTCTTGTGTGCGTTCTTCTTAAACAGTTTGTTATAAAGGAGCAAGCACTCCTTCCTAAAATTGGAGCATGTTTAGCCATAGTTGCTGGTAAGTAAAAAATTTAGGATCCATTTTTGTTCTCAAAACTGACTACCATCTCCTCTTAAACATCTGCGTCGCTTTGGACAGATGTTAAAATTTCATTCATGGTGTCTACTAAAACTTCATATTTACTTAATACTCAAACTTTTAGCTTATAATTGCTATCCATTCTGTCTAATAAAAGAAAAAAGAAAAATCTATGCAAAATATTTATAATTTATAATAATTTATAATTTCATATTTTCTTTGATTCTCCCTTTTAAGACTCCTTTACCTTTACAAATGGTGTGTTTAATAAAATTTTCGGAAAACTGGAAAGTAACAATGAGAAAAACATTGGTCTTAATGTAATTTCAATAGAAATTTTGTTATCGGAAGCGTTTGATTAATCTACTTAAGAGTTCAAGTACTTGGACACGTAATCATGTTATTGTTTTTACATGTACTTTAAAGCGATTTTATGATAAGATTTGACCTTCATTTTCAACTGAAACGGACTTCAATATATTGCTAGTATCCTGTCTGACATGTATATTGAATGAAAAGAAATATATTAAAAAGCAAAAAAAAACATCCTCGTTTTTAGATAAAGATAATTTGCTATTTTACTTATCATTTTTAATCACATCGCAGTAATTATATAATTATAATAGTAATTATATCAGCAGAAGAAAATTATTCTTTTTTAAACAGTTTACCGTCCATGAACAGGCTCAATCAAACCGAGCCTGCAACATTTTCAATTTTGCCGTATTGGGCTTTCTTTAGGGATTCTGTATTTATCTATTTTATTGTTAAAGTTTAGGTATACACTGACGAGTATTTTCTTAAAACAAAATGTGTTTCATGTTCTACCCCTTACCTCACTAAATATCTTATATAAACTTTCCATATTTCAATTTTGAACAAAATTTTTCGTTGTTTATTGGGAAATTTAAAAAAAAACAATGTACCAACTGAATAGCGAACAGTGCTGACCATGATCAGGCGACGCTTGGTATGCACTGGTCGCGTGGGTATAATCGGTTTCCACCAACAGTTAGCGGGCAAGTTATTCAGTAAATAAAGGTTACGGCATTGATTTCATTGACGTCATTGACGTCAATTATTCAAACACTCAAACTGACTGATTTGTAAAGCCAATTTTAATCTGCCATTTCACCATATTCTATAATTGCCATTTTCTCATTTTTAGGAATCTTCATGATCATCGGCACAATAATTTATGCCACTCGAGACGTCGTGGACTCGAGCAATTTGCATGCCGGGTTTGCCCTTTGTATAATTGCAGGCATCATAGGAATCGTCGCGGGAGTAGTGGTTTTTCTGGCGTCCAAAGGCGATTAAACTAATCATTCTTCACGTCTAGGAAGACAATGGATTTTTCTTCCATTTATTTTATGCCGATGCAAAAGTGTTTGTGTAAACCTGAAACATGAGAACATTGCTTTTTTTATTATTCATACTTATTTATAGTGTGTCTGAAATCTTTCTACAATAGGGAATAGACTTATATAAATAAACAACATAAACGTTACAATGTTTTTAGTTTTCATCATCATCATCATCATCATCATCATCACCATAATTATCACCATCATTATCAACATCAATATCATCATTTTTAACCAACATCAACATCATCATCATCACTATAATCATTATCACCATTATCATCATTATCAACAACATCATCATCATTATCATCATTATTTTATCATCATATCATAATCATCATCGTCACCATCATTATAATAATCATTATCATTATCATAATCATTAATAGCATCATTGTCATCATTTTCGTCATCATCATCATCCGTCATCATCATCACTATCATCATCATTATCATCATCATCATTGTTCTGTTTGTTAAATATATCACAATAATTATCTTCATCTTTATAACTATTATTATTGATTTTATTATTAATATTGATACAGCCGTATAAACTCCCAGGTTATTATGAATAATAAACGAGGTGTTCCGAATGTGTTTTAAAGTTCCCGTTTTACATATCTCTAAGGTTTTATAATTGCATGTATTTGCTTCAGATATTCATATATCGTCACACCTTCTTGAAATCGGTGCACCTTTCTATCGATGCACTTTAAAATCGATGCACATTAAAACCCATGCATCATCGACTGACACAATTCCTTAACTAAAATCCATATTTCTTTTCAATATTTCTTAGATTCATATAAAGACGCTAGCGCACGTCATGTTTCTAAGTCTAAATGCATTTCTTTTGATATTAAACAAGTACTGGTATGTTTTAAAATATATATCTAATATATGGGCCGCCCCATGAGAAAACCAAAAAAAGAGCAGAAAATGACGTCACCAAGAAAATGTTATTTGAATATGACGTCAAAATATGCACGTTTTTATCAATATAACGCGTATACAATTACCACTTTCAGTGCACTATATCTATGGCGCGTTGTGATATATTTTCGACGGAGGACAGAAATTCCCGAAATACATGTATTAATAAAACGTTTACATCAAATATTATATTGCATAATATTTAAATTATGTGAAGCTCTAGTTAAATTTTCTAACTGAAACATTTTACCCGCAGCTCTCGTCTTAGCAGTAAAATGTGACTTATAAAGAATCTCTCATGCGTTCGTTTGTTTCGGATAACTTTACTTATTTTTTTGAATAAATATTCATTTTAAAATATTCATTTTAGTAGAGTATTATATCTTTTTTAAAGTATTTTTAATAAAGAAAAATTGACGTTCACAAAACAGTTATTATTATGCTAATTTATAAATGTTAATAAGTTACGCAGTTTGGCAATAAATCACATAATGTCTGCATCTCATTTATTTATTTATATTATTAGTTATAAAAATTCTTGACAGGTTATATGGCACTATATAAACGGCTGTTTGTAAATATAACCCGAGCCGTTAGGCGAGGGTTATATTGCAAACAACCGTTTATATACGGCCATATATCCTGTCAACAATCTTTATAACGAATTTATAATACATCACGCATCATTTTTTAGAGAAAAAAGTAAGATTTCTTCATGAATCGACAGTAGCCGTGTATATAAAACTATATAAACGTCACGATTATCCAATGAAAAGCGACGTTACAAACGTGCAGTATTATAACATTTGAAATAACTGTTCATTTAATATTCCAGCAAGATATTAAGAAGAGCTACAATTACTTTAAATAGCAAGAATGCAAGCGTTGCGAGTACGCTTTTATCATTCCAGGGATGTTCAGCCCTGTCTTCTTAAACTCCTTTTATAGTCAACACGTTATCATGATTAATGGTATGCATGCATATAAACATGGACCAAGTACAACGATCCGTAGAGTCACATTTTAAATAATCAAAGGGCTGCAAGCTCTGTGGTATTTTCCGATTTGTCGTACTGTATATCTGTATGTATTTTCCTGTATAAGTTTATCTTTATATGCTTTAATTCATCTTACAGGGCACCGAGATGCAGCGACTGCGTTTAGATTTTATACTCTAACAGTTTGAGTTTGATACATACGGAATTTCGCATGACTTGCATATCTTGGCTACGTCCTTAAAAAGACACTTAAAAAAATATAATAATAGTTGCCTCGACTGGGAATTGTACCCCCAGACCTCTCACATCCTCAACGAGCGCGTTACCCCTGCAACACGGGGAGTTATACGAAGAAAGACTGAATAAAATCAAATAATTATAAATTTAGAATTTCCATTTCGGGTTTGTAATTCTTATTAATTTCGAGGTGTTTAACACTGATGTAAATAATTTAGCGAAAATTCTCTCGCAAAAACAGTCCGACATGTACATGTATATATTCCACTACTCGACAGTCAGATTTATTTATGTACTACGTTCTGCAGTATTTGGTAATCGACATCGCTAAAATAGCATTTTCATTGATTAAAATGATATTCATACGCGTAATTTGTGATTGTACATTTATTGACAATTCTATAGGCTAATGCTACTTTTAAACTTTGAATGCGATGTAATTTGTTGGATACTTGTAACAAAATAAAAATATTTCTTTCTTTTACATCGCTAGTTTTAAGCTTTTTTGAGAACTACTTGTTGTTAGGTTTGTCGTAAAAAAAGTCTGTGCCAGAGATTGAATGTCAGCATTGTATTTCCTGATCTGGGATCAGAAAATACAAAAACAGCCATTTTACCAGTAACTGTTCGATTATATGGCATGAAAAGTAACAGATAAGCAAACGAAAACCTGTTGAAAATAAGATCAGAACACATCGACCCTACGATGGGAAACCTAAGGAATAATGGCGTACGGCACGGCAGGCGTTGCTCAATGACGAAGCGTTTTTAATCATATAATAGAAGAATCTGGAAACAAAGTGATATCTCGGAAGCATTAATCACAACAAAATTACATGAAAATTGCAGACTCGGTTTGATTGAGTCTGTACCTGAGCGATAATGAATAAATGCAACATCCCCGTGCCCCATAGCACCGGCTTGAGTGGCATTCAATTAGTGCTGGCATCAATGATCCCGAAGGACCAGATACTGAAGTGAAGTACAGGGCAACTTTTTACACCATTTAAACCTTTTTTTTAACTAAAATATAATATAGTACTTAACATTAAGGGCAAATATTTTCCGGTCGATGTTTTGAATGTAGGGGATTTGTTCTATTCAATATGGTTAACATTTATAAGAATGGTATACTTGTTTAATTAACACTTTTAAATTATTATTGTGCCAAGGAAAACAGACTGGTTTATCAGATAGTTAAAATGATAATAATCAACTAAATGAATGTAAAAGATTACACCCGTGTTTTATTACGGTAACCTAAAATATACAGTATGGCAATGCAAAGAAAACTTTAATTCATGCAAACATATTAACGTTATTATCGGTATTACAATTTACACTAATATATTTCCTTCATTTTTTTTTAAATAATTCAAATTTCTGGATGACCACCAATGAAAGCATTTTATGGGGGTTTTTTTATCGGGCGGTAAATAACCGTGAAGTACATTTTACAGAACGAGCATTTAACCGACTGACTGCAATGTGTTTTTTTTTGTCTATATTTATGTTTATGTTTTTTGTCTATATTTATATTTGAACAATTGATTTTTCTCTGCAATTCTCCTTTCATTTAAAGAATTTGTATATAGTAAAGCAGAAACATTAAACTACGGAATTACATAAACGACAGCCAACTGTTTAGCTTACTGTCAACTGCTTACTGTCAACTACTTACTGTCAACTGCCTACTGTCAACTGCTTACTGTCAACTGCTTACTGTCAACTGTTTAATGCTAACAGGCGACTGCTAAATGCTTACTGTTAATTGATAAATGCCAACTGTCATACCTGCCAAATTAATTGCCTGAAAGTAAATGTCGGCTTTGTACGTCCTTCTTCCAATATGTTTTTCATTACAATTGAGGGACCTTTTGAAACCGTAATGGTCAAGAAATTACCCTGTATCATAGATGAAGGCTTTGACTGATAAAACCTTGGAAATGTTACATTAATACATGTATAATTCTAGTGTTACTATAAGCAGAAAGATATATCTTTGCAGGCATTAAGAACTTTTCCAAATTATGAACCTGTAAACTTTATAAAAATGCTATCAAACCCAATATCTGTCTTTAAATCTTGTTCTCTAATTTTATGCTGCTTTCTTGATTAAAACGTACAGGTATATCTCTGATAACGAACAAGCTTGTAAAAGACAGTCATTCAGATACATCCGCCATATAACATGTATATTATAATATTTGTTCCTTAAATGATAATGATCCTACCATATAACTATAGAGCTTAATGTTATTTTTGACCGGAGGCCTTGCAATACCATGAACGTCGTTGTTTGTACATTCAAATTACAACGGTCAATTTTATGTTAGCATTTTGCAAATAATGCTTAAAGGCTTTGTTAAAGAATAATCTAGAACATGGTGCTCAAAACATAGATATATATCTAGGACTTTGAAAATTGATATTCATGCCTAATGTATTCGTAGATTTTCAGACAAAATTATGATTACCAGTTGTGTACTCTGATAAACATGCTGGTATAGTTTACACACGTCATGGTCCAAATCATACATGGAATCGTTTAGTTCTAACTAAAAAAAGTTAATACTTATACGGGTGATGGTAAAACAGCTATACAGGCAATTTTTCTCATGATCATTTTAACTGGTAAAGCTTTAAAAGCAATGAACACATTACTGATAAATTGTAAAGACATAGATTTAAAACCAAAATAATTATGTCAATTACTTGATTCTGTTGTAGGATATTGAGCGTTTTCACTTGTAATTTTGTACAAGAATTTTAAATGTTAGAGCCAATACAAGCAATAGCAGTATATACGGCGAACTCGGTTTACCCATTGTAAATAAATCGATACGTTAGAATAATTAAATTTTTGTGCAAATTGATTTATACTGACAATATAATTTAACGGAAAATATATGAATTAAGTTTATCTGATTGTTACAAGGGTGTCAAAATATGGTTGAAGAAATGCTAGATATAATAGTAAATTTTTCCAAAAATCGTTTGAACAAAGAGTTATTGAGATTTATATACAAATATCATTGTGAAATTTATTGAACTGATTTCTTCTAATAATAAAATTTTACTTACGAATCTAGCTAAATATTTGTATTTGAGAGAATCGATTCAAATCAGGAACACTTTTGTTGGTACTAACAACTGCAATTTGATATTTTGTTACATATTTATTCTCAAAATTCAATTCATTTGTTGTAC